AAATTAGGTCAACGTAAGCCGTTGTTCAGTTCAGGGAGCTGGTCAACTAGGGAGGTTCCACTCTATCTCTTCTCCCTTCTATATATCAACAGGTATATACTTTATCCATTCGTCTGTTTATGCTCCCTCCTTTCCTTCCATAGAGGACCAACTGAAAATTAGCTACAGAGTTGCTTGTGGCAAATTAGAATATAGAGGGCACCCAGAAAATTCTACATGAAGCAACAGCTCCCTCAGAAGCCTCTGAGAATGGGCCACCTGACAGATTCTCCCTCGGAGGGTCCTAGTACCCACACCTTCCTGGACTGCCCTTTATAGAGAACAAGAATGGAAATTGCTAAATTGTAAAGACGCTGTGGGCAACGGTTCTTCCTAAATGTTCTGGTTTGCTACCAAGAACTCAAAAGAGATAAAGGTGGGCAGTTTTTCTTTTCTTCTTCTTTTTTTGTTTGGTTTGGGTTTACTGACATGTTTTGATTTTTGTTTTTATTAATGAAATAGGTGCCTCAGGGTAATGCTATGGGTCTTGGATCATTCAGATAGAGAATGTTTGAACTTTTACCGTGTGCTTGAGATTGACTCATAAGTCAAGCAATTATGTAAATAATAGGGCTGATAGGAAGATAGTAGAGGTTCTGGGTGAGTAAGCAGCTTCCTTTAGGGTGGAAATCGCCTCAAAGATTAAAGATGAAGAGTTGAGTGAGCCACAAGCACACTCACAGGCCATCAGCTGGAAGTGGAAGTGCCCTCAGACATATATGGGGTCCTTAGCTAAAAGACACCATGAGAAGCTTTTTGGGGGGGAGGAGTATGGGAGTCAGTAAATTTCTCATAATCCAGCCAGGAAGAAGTTCAGAACCATCTTGATAAGCCTATCTTGCCTACATTGATCTCTGGTACAGACTCACTACCACTGATCCTTGGACAACCCTGGGAGTTAGCTGGTTGAAAATTTGTGTATAACTGTGGACTCCTCAAAAATTGCGCCCATAGCCTACGATTGACTGGCAGCCTCACCAATAACATAAACAGTTGATTTGTTAGATGGCGTTTCCAACTCCCCCGCCCTTGGCACAGTTGAAAATCTGCATATAACTTTGGACTTCCCCCCCAAAACTTAACTAGTAATAGCTGTTGGCTGGAAACCTTACCAATAACATATACAGTTGGCTAACGCATGTGTGGGAGGTTATCTGTTTTATATATATATATATATATATATCATATGCTGTATTCCTAATAATAAAGCAGGCTAGAGAAAAGAAAATGGTATTAAGAAAGTCATGAAAAAGAGAAAATATATCTATTATTAGGTAGAGTGGATCACCATAAAGGGCTTCCTCCTGACCTCCTCACGTGGAGTAGGCAGAGGGAGGAGCAGCTGGTCTTGCTGTCTCGGGGCTGGCAGAGGAAGAGGAAAATCCACACTCATCAGCCGACTTGGGCAGTTCCACCCCATGTGGTTGATGCGTGAAAACATCAGCAGGGAAAATGGTTCTTTCTCCCTTGTGGCTAAATGTCCGCAGAGGTGATGGGAAGAACAGTAGGAGTAAAAAAGATGAGGAATAAGGGAGCAAAATCTGTTACGTCCCTCATCCCCGACACCTTCATCTGGTCTCTGTCACCTGGACTGAGGACGTCACTGGCCCCTCCTGCCTCCCTCGAATGCCCTATCTGCATCAGCAGTTCTGATCATGGGCTCCTTACTTAAGGGCCTCTAGCTGCTCCTAAGGCAGGTGCCAAACCCTTCACGGGTGGCTCAGCAGTTCTTCTCCTCAGTTTAGAGCTGACGTGACTAAAAACAAGTGTTCCAACAAAATCTTGTACGCAAATGTTCACAACGGCGTTATTCACAATAGCCGGAAGGTAGAAGCAGCCTAACTTGAGCACAGGTCAGTATTCGCTGGCGGGTTGTGAAAGCCCAGGCTGCCGGGCCTCCCCGCAAGCCCAGCATCAGTGGAGACTGGGGTGCTGGCCCCGCACAGCTGGAAGAGTCTTTAGTCCTCTCCCTGGAGAATCACTAAGACACGGTACAGCACAGGGCCAGGAACTACTGTGGGAGAGAGGGAGGGCGGGTTCCAGAGGGCCCTCATGGAAACAGTGCCGTCATCTGCAAGCCCATCAGGTGCCACCGTGTGCACCTCTTAGCCCGAATACCAACCTTGACCTGGAAGAAGCTCCTTCTCCCGTGATGGGTCTCAGAGGAGGGGCCGACGCCTTCATCAATATCCCACAAACAGAAGGAGAGCCACATTTCGAGGGCATTTTGGACTGTAAGACACTTAGAATTGTCTTAGCTCACAGCAAATTTTCTCATAACATGCTGTCATAAGCGGTGGGTTGGGTGCCTGCCTATTCAGCTCACTAATGCCCACTCAACTGGTGTGTGAGTACTTTATAAGTAAGTGCTCTAGCGCCCCGGGGTTGAGTCAGTCTCCCCTGGGAGGCCAGGAACCGAATTGCCATCGTACTGTGCTTTTCTTTCTATGGTAAAATGTCTTCCCAGCAAACAGTGCGAAGGGAGGAAGCGGATATGAGACAGAAATGTGGACACCAAAGGGACCTTCCTCTTGCTTTGAAACTCCAAGCAAAAGGCTCTCGCTAGCTCTCTGAGGTCTCTTTTATAAAGGCACAAATCTCATCCATGAGGGTGGAGCCTCATGACCTAATGACTCCCCTGAGGCCTTGCCTGCTACTACCATCCCTCTGGTGATTAGGTCGCAACACCTGAACTTGGCTGGCACACAGACATTCAGACTGTAGCACTGCGGTGTTATGGAACACAGTGGCCTGTTGACAAGTGCCTCTTTTTGTGTGGGGGTGGGGGAATTGTTCTCTCAAATGGATAGATAACACAATTTTTTTTTATTCCAACTGAACCAGTTGACACCTTGGGGCCCTTCACTCCTGTATATATGTCAGCCTTACCTTTTACGAATAAGGACATTTTGACAGAAAATGGGGGGAAACACGTGAACATATAATTCACACACAAAGATAAAAATGGTCCTCAAGCATTTGAGAAAAGAGTCGAAACTCCCTTTCCATCAGAAAAATACTAATTAAAAACAACCTTTCAGGGCAGTGCCTGTGGCTCAGTGAGTAGGGCAACGGCCCCATATACCAAGGGTGGTGGGTTCGAGCCCAACTGTAACAAAAAAATAGCCAGGCATTGTGGCGGGCACCTGTGGTCCCAGCTACTCGGGAGGCTGAGACAAGAGAATCACCTAAGCCCAGGAGCTGGAGGTTGCTGTGAGCTGTGACACCACAGCACTCTACCAAGGGCAATACAGTGAGACTGTCTCTAAAAAGAAAACAAACAAACCAACAAAAAAACATTTCAGATGGGCAAAATGTTAAAATATGACAATAAACTCTATAATGAGGCTATGAAGAAACCAGCTTTCTCAGCATTGCTGGCGGGAATGCAGATTGGTACGAGCTTTCTGGAAGGGAATTTGGCAACATCTGATGAAAGTACCTATGCCTTTCCCTTTTGTTCTAACAATCTCACTTCTAAGAATGTACCCTAAAGATAAAACTCCAAGAACATGAAAATGCACATATATACAAGATTCTTCTTCTTCTTTTTTTTTTTTTTTTTTAAGAGACAGAGTCTTACTTTATTGCCCTCGGTAGAGTGCTGTGGTGTCACAACTCACAGCAACCTCCAGCTCTTGGGCTTAGACGATTCTCTTGCCTCAGCCTCCTGAGTAGCTGGGACCACAGGTGCCCACCACAGACCTTGCTATTGTTGTTGTTGTTGTTGTTGTTGCAGTTTGGCCAGGGCTGGGTTTGAACCCCCCCCGCCTTGGTATATTGGGCCGGTGCCCTCCCCACTGAGCCACAGGCACTGCCTGCTTATTTATAACTGAAAGTTTGTATAATTTAGTCAATATTCCCCCATTTCTCCCCCCTCCTAGTTCCTGGAGACCACCATGCTACTCTGTTTCTATGAATTTGGCTTTTTTAGATTATACCAATAAGTGAGGTCATACAGTATTCGTCATACGGTTTTTGACATATACACAGATAGATATAGAAATACACACACACACATATATATGCATATATGTGGTTTAGTGCTGTCAACCTGAAAAACACACCAGGGAAAAATATCTCCTAATATAATGAATTTATTCAGGAGTAAGCAAAAAGGATTATAGTCTGGTATGCACAAGTAGGGCAAGCCACAGATGCACCTGAACGGGGCAGGGTAGGAAGAAGCTTTTATTGGCAAAAAGAAGCTCATAGGCTACCTGGGAACACAGCTCACCGTTCTGGAGGCTCAAGACCAGAGTTGGTGTCAGTGCCTTGGCGGAGAAGCCATACTGGGCGAGTGTTCTTTCGAGAGCATCTTTTTGAATTGCTGCACTCCAGAAGAAGGAATTCTTGTGGGGTTATGTTAGAAAGTCTTCCACACAGTCCTTTTCTCAGACATGCAAGCATGAGCTCTCCCCCTTTGTGCTTTCCTGACTCCACTTTCTTTGGGTCTGAAGAAAGCGATTTCATCCTGGCGTCTGCAGCTTTCACAGTTTGCCTGCGTCTGTTTGCTGGAACAGTGATGCCCCAGTAGCAAGGTGCACCGCTGGTGCCCAGACTTGGTTCCTAAGCACTGTTCTTCAGTAAAAGGGACCAGGACCTCTTGGAAGAGTAACCAATTCCAAGACTGAACAATGAAAATACAAGATGAGCCAGAAATGTGGGGTACCAAAAAGTAAGGATATCTTCCCAAGAGGATGGGGACACATGAGAAGAATAGGGGAGCCAGCCTGAAGGACTTCCCAGTGGCCAAAGCTGGAACAATGTGAACAACAAAGTCAGTCATGATAGTATTGGATTATAATCCACAGAACAAAGTAAATATCTGTGCATTCCTGCTACAAATAAATAATCGAATAAATAAATAAATGGAAGAGATGGAAACACTTTTTTTTAAATAGAAGAATTCTAATTAAAAAATGTGGAAGGAATGGGGAAAATGAAAAGTTACGATTAGATTGGCCCTGAATCGAGGCTGGCAGTTTGCTGCAACTCTTGGTTTCAAGCAGGCACCTAAAGAATTATCTTTCTGTGGCCTGTTGGCCATTTCAGAACTTTGGAAACGTAATGGTCAATTCATTAGAAAGAAACAGTTATGGGTCATTGGTGATAGATGTAGGCTAGTATGTATTTGTAGTCTTGATACTGGGGTTCCAAAATATCCATAAAATATTATATTTATCTCAAGAGGATATGTAAGTTATTTGTTAGAATTATAATGCTGTTCAATCTTAATTACAGCCCCCCAAAATTACTGTGGGTTTTTACCCAAAATAAAAAGATAATTCTACAGTAAAAAAAAAAAAAAGAAAGAAAAGAAAGAAAAGTCACTATTAGGATACCGCAGTAATCATGACCGCAGGCAAGGTCCACCGATAGAAGCTGAGGTTGGTACAAAAAAGTTTTAGGACCATATATTTGCATATTCTTTTTAAATTTGTTTAATTTCTATTTGAAGTTTCAAAGTAATATGAGGGGACAAACGATTAGGTTACAATGCTTGCGTTTGTCAGATAAGGTCCCTATTGTAGTTGTGTCCCACCCCAGGATGTGTGACAGATACTCTTACACTGTACCTATAGGTAGAAGCTCACCCATTCCCCTTCTTCCTCCCCTCTCTCCCCTCCCTCATCCCTCCTCCCCCCTCATCCCCAGCTTGAATTAAATTGAGTTTTTCTCTTGTGTGAGTGTGTATTTTTCTGTCTACTGGTTTCATATTAGAATTAAGTACATTGGGTACTTACTTTTCCATTCTCGTAATGCTTTATGAAGAAGACTGTATATCAACCCCATCTAGGTTAATACAAAAGATGTCAAGTTTCCATCTTTTTAGGGCTGAATAGTATTCCATGGTATACATATTCCACAGCTTGGGAATCCATTCCTGGGTTGATGGGCATTTAGGTTGTTTCTGCATCTTAGCAATTATAAATTGAGCTGTGCTAAACAATTTAGTGCAAATGTCCTTATGATAGACTGATTCTTTTTCTTCTGGGTAGATGCCTAGTAATGGGGTTGCAGGATCAAATGGAAGGGCTATTCTGAGTTCTTTGAGGAGTCCCCATACTTCTTTCCAAAGAGGCTGTATTAGTTTGCAGTCCCGCCAACAGTGTAAAAGTATTGCCCTCTCTCTATATTTGCATAGTCTTAAACTATCTCCCCCCTCAAATTTTTACTAACCATAAGAAAGAAATGGGAACCTTATAGTGGAAAAATCCAGCAGATGCTATTATAATACATGAACCAAGTAATTAAGACTAATGTCACCAAGAACAAGTACCATGGAGTCCTGATGTGGTCTCTGGGAAGGCAGAACATTTCTGTAAGCTCAGCCTGATCGTGAAAACACATTAGAGAAACCTGAACGGAGGAACGTTCCACAAAACTACTGGTCTGTACTCTTCAAAGTCACACAGAACCAGGAAAGACTGAAAAATTGTTGGAGAATCAAGAACGCAGAGGAGACATAGACAGGATTCCTCCATAGCGAAAGGATGGGAGGGGAGAGCTCGGGCGAGACTCAAGTTAGTTCTGTCCATTGCCTTCCTGTCCTGAGCGTTGTATTATGGTTGTGTACATTGTTACCGAGGAATCTGGGTAGGAGGGACATGGAAACTCTTTGTATCATTTTTGTAACTTTTCTGTAGGTCTGGAATTATTTCAGAATGAAAGTGAAAACAAAAACTAGAGTTTTTTGTAGGCACCCAAATGTTTGACGAATGATTGAATTTGTATATTAAATTATTGGAGAAGTCTTTGATGTAACATAACTTATATATATAACTTTGAGGGGAGAAAAAGAACAAAGATAATTGCCCTCACATAACCACAAGAACAATTATCTCATCTAAGAAATTTGATACTGATATAATAAAATTATCTAATACACTGCCCCTGTTCAATTTTTCTAATCCTTCCCAAATGTGGCTTATAGATTTGTTTGTTCCGTTAGTTGTTGCTGTTTTCCTGTCTGTTTGCTTTGGTGGTGTTTTGTTTGTTTTTTGGTTGTCCTGGCTCCTTCATCTCCTTTAACAGCGGAATGGTCACCTGCCTTTTCTGTCTTGCCCGACCCTTAGATTTTGAGGTGCCCTGAGAATGGCTGTCTTTCCACAGCAGAAGGAGCCCGTGGCTGTAAGCTCCTGTTCACACTGATGATTCCCCTCAAGCCTCAGCTCTCAGCTCATGGCTCAGCATACCCTGTGTCCCTGGGTGGCTCTCCAGATGGAGCCCTGGGGCTGCTGCACAATCGTGCTGTCTTGTCCAGCGGTAGATGCTGGCCCCGTCCTTTCATGCCCATTGTGGCTGTGCTCTCTTCTCGAACTTCCCATTTCTCCTCTCCACCTTTCCTACACTGTTGAATTACCCTTCAGAGGACAGAGCTGTTTTCAAAGTCAGACCAGCTTCTTTGACCCTCTTGCACCAACTGGACATCGTTTGTAGCACATTGCAAACTCGAGGGGGGACAAACCAGCAAGAACTCCAGAGATAACAGCATTTAATTGGATTCCACCCGGGAAACTGGGGTCTGGCCCCTTGTGAAAACACCTGCCCCAGGGGTATCCACTGGGGCCAGTTAAACCCTGAATCTTATAGCCAGGGGATTCTTTCCCTACATAGTTACTGACTTGGTCAAAAGGGACAAGGCCACCCGATGTGTATTAGAAGCCAGTAATTTCATGTGGAAATACTGGGAACCTCCTTTATAGATTTTTAAATGGGATTAATATTTATAGCGAGCAGATCTCCTACATTATCTGTGCTGGGTCCTACCCTGCAGTAGAGAATTGGTAATACATGACTTCGTAAATATGAACTATAGCTAATGATTGCAGGCTACCCCTCCCAAACCAAGACCCCAGCAAGATCCGCTCTCACTCTGCGCTGTTTCTGCAGGGGTGTGGTGGGCAGCGTGGACACAGCACTGAAGCCCTTGAGCTCTGGAGTCAACAGACTGGAGCTGGAATTTCAAGCTGTGCTGCTTCCCAGCTGATGAACTTAGGAAAGATACTTAACCCTCTGTCAGCCCAGGTTTCTTCATCTATAAAGTGGGTTGCTAACACTTCCTGCACAGGGTAATAACTGCCTAAGAAAAACACCAAGACACGTGTGCAGTGCCCAGCACTGGGCTGGGCCGGGGCAGGCTGTCGGCAGTGCCGGGGCTCCCACTGAGGTCGCTGCTGGCCACATGTCTCTGCAGTCCACACGTGGCCTTTCTGGAAGAAGTGGTTCTGATCAAGGGGGTTGCTGTGTGTCATCTTTGTGGTATTGGTAGCGCATGTGGAGTGGCAGGTGATAAACTGCCCAGCTGGTGATTACCCACCCCCCCAACTCTCCCCGCTGGCACTGGCTTCATGGCCATGTACCCTGAGCTGCCCATTCGGGGAAGCTCAGAAAACATGGTGGTTACCCTGCAGCAAAGCTCTGGGTCCCCGGCTAGCTAGAAACATGCATCAAAGGAAGGAGAAGGTTTCTTCTGTTAGCTTTCTTTCCAGCTTCTCTTCTGGTTTTCTTCGAGAGCCTCCTGTACTCAGAGTCAGTGGGCTGGGTGCTTCCATGCCATCCGGCTTCAGGAGTGGCCTCGCCTCATAGAGCTCTCTCAGTCTTATAGACGTGCCCAGTTGTTTAAATATGAGGATCCAGGGCTGCACTTTGGGGCCTTTAATGTCCTGTATCTTGCTCCTGCCTTGTCACCTGTACCCTTCTTGGGGGTCTGCAGAATGGCACCCAACCCCAGTGTCTCCATTACCTCACTCTCCCCTCGCGAGTATGCCCTGCTGTTCACAGGACATTGACTCAGAGGCTCCCTGTTGTCGCCTGAGCCTTCACGTGCTGGTGTGAGCCCTCAGTATCACGGCTGTGATGGTGCAGGGGGGTGGGGGGAAGCACCCATGGTTTCTGTGTAAGCCTCTCCTTCTCTCTGCCCTGCATGTCTTAAGTTCAGTGCCCCTGAAATGCTTTTCATTTGCAAAGGAATAATCATTCCTATTTGTTTTGGGAGCCCCAGACTACATCCTGGCCAGGCAGCTTTCGTGTCCCTGCCATGGAGGGAAGGGAGAGCGTTCGCACTGCATGCAAATAGCCAGGGATTTCTCACGAGCACTGAGAGCTCCCTGTTCAGGTCATATTAGGCGTGCGGTTCAATCGCTCCCCCTGAAGGAGGAGGAGGAGCAGGTGGTGTTCAGCTTTGAACTCGGGCCACATGCCCCAAGGATAAGTGAAGGTATAGATTGGTCTAAATAAGGGAATAGGGGGGGAAAATCGCTTTCTGTAAGTGCTGCCTTGGCTAGCAGCCAGGCAGAGCGAGCAGAGGGACAGAGGCAGCAGTCGGAGGCTATTGAGAGCGTATGTTATTCATCGGCAAAGCATTCAGCAGTTAAGATCGTGCCCAGAAGATTGTTCTGCAGCTGGAAAAGAAAGGAGCCTTTCAACCTCGCTCATTTGGCCTGCACTGCAGTTCTGCTGAGCAGCCGTTTTGGAGTTTCCTCTTGGAGTCATTGGTTTATGCTGTCCAGATGTGCACATTGTGATGGTTTTGTTTTTTGGCTTTCCAGATGTGCACAGACAGGAAAATGAGCTCTGGCAAAGGTGGAGGCCTGTCTCCACAGTCCCTGAAATCTAGAGAACCCACAATGCCTTCGTTGTGCTGGGATCACAAAGCTTAGGATCTGGAAAAGAACTTACAGGTCGCCCAATTTAACCTCCTTGTTTTACAGCTGAAGACACTGAGGGCCTGAGAGTTGTGACATGCTCCCTGCTGACTGATTATCTGCAGCTGGGAGCAGACATCAGCCCCCCCCCCCACATACACACACACTGGACATGTCTGTTGGATCACTGCATGCACCTGGCACTTGCCTGTGTGCTTGGGATAGGTTGATGAACAGAGATTCTTAGCTTGTTCTGCTGCTAGGGTAGGTGTGGGAGAAAGAATGAATAATAAACATTAAAAAATGAATATATTACACAGTTGGTTAGAAGATAATCAATGCTATCAAAAAGGAAGGAAAGAGATTCAGCACCTGTAGCTCAGCGGCTAGGACGCCAGCCACATACACCGGAGCTAGTGGGTTCGAACCCAGCTCTAGCCTTTCAAAC